ATAAATAAATAAATAAATAAATAAATAAATAAATAAATAAATAAATAAATAAATAAAAAATAGGAATAATATAGAATAAAGTACAAGGCATCTTTCACAGGAAAATAAGGCTTGCCTAAACAAGATTTTTAATAATCTTTTAATCTTTCAATTAAAATCAACTAATTTTAATCAAAAGATTAAAAGAGTATTAGAAATCTTGTTTAATCTTTCTAAATTTTAGATAATCTTTCAAGACTTTTTAACAACTTTATTAAGCTATTTATGTTTTATTCATTTTGTGCTGGCTGTTAAAGTCATACCCATGTTACTGTAGTCGGTAATCATATGATTACTGATTTATTACATCTTTGCAGTTTTGTTTGTGTGCCATTTGACAGATATTTCAAAACTTGGATTGAAAATGTATTTAATATTATGTAATTACTTATAATGAATATATTTTATCCCACCAAATAACTTGTTGTCCTTTAACCAGAATAATCCCAGTTTCTCACTTCCATTTGATCTTCATAGAATAATTTCAGCTCAGTTCACCAATTGAAGCAAATTAATTTTACAAACATGTGCTCAGTTAATGCTACAGCTGACTGGAGTATTTCCTCAAATTAAGAATTAGCATGCGCTTCTTACCAAACAAGTTGGAATTAATTCTTCTGTTATGTTTGGAATCCTTAGGTAAAAATCTGGTGGGAAGGACAGTTCTGATGAAAATTATCCAAAGTAGGAGCCAAGTAATATGTTACTTTTTCTTTTACCCAAACATTTGAGGCAAATAAGTAGTACCCTTACCTATTAAACCTGTGCTGTAACCTTGTTTCTTCAATATCTTGGCAAATGTGGTCTCATTTGGAGGGAGACCCCCAGAACCAGCAAGTGACTGAAGAACACGATAACCAATTGTTTGAACCATACCTGAATTTAAAACATAAATAAAAAAAGATAGCCAGTCTATGTCTGTGGACTCAATAGGTCAACCATCTATGCATCTAATGACCATTTTTTGTATTAATCAGTAGGCAGTTAATGCTGAAATCTTGAGTGGGAAAGGAGAAAAACAGTAACTTCAATGATTCTCCTTCCAGATACATTGGGTTACATTTTTTGAAATTATAATCTGAAACTTCTGGAGGCCATTATTTTGGGGAAAGCTGTTCTCCTGTTTTCTGAATATATGGTAAAACCCATCTAGTTATTTAGCCCAATCTTTACTTAACTCATATTTACTAATATCCTAGTACTAATGTAAAGAACATTTCCACTATTATGGCTAATAGTTTCCACTTGAGACTTAGTTATAACAAACCTGATCGGACTGGGTATCTTCCAGTTAAGAAAGCAGTTCTGCTTGGTGTACATACAGGAGCTGCAGCAATATGCTGAGTAAGTTTTATTCCTTCTTTTGCTAACCGATCAATATTAGGAGTCCTAAGGAAAGATGTCAACACATTATGTTTCATTGGAACAGTTGGGGGGAAAAAACATAAAAGATTTAGTCCAGTTTTAAAACAGCATTTTTGCATGCATCAAAATTCACTTAAATCTCAATTCACTTCAGGCAGAGTGTGTGTACTGTATATGAGTTGTCTCATTTCACAGAACAGAGGCTGACTTCATTGAAAAAAGACAGTTCTGCTTCTGCCTTTTGCAAGTGAGGAAAAATGGGTGCAAAGTCAATGGATGGATAGGTAGTAGTGATGTGAAGGTCTTCCCATCTCCAGCCATGCTTTTGAACTTCAGGGTTGTCCACAGGAGAATAAAAAAAGTCAAGATGTGACTGTTATTGCACAATCAAAGCCCTGTCCCCTTTAATGAGTGCCATGCACATGACGCCTGTAAAAAAGATGGGGTTCAGTCATATGCTCATGGCTTGTCATCTTGACTTTTTTTTACTCTCTCAGAGATGCTCCTGAGACACTTATTTCCTGCTTATGGAGGATATGCAAAAGAGTTAAAATAGGAACTCTTTTGAAACATAGGCCACCAGTGGCTTGGAAGGAAAGGGAGTTATCCCTTCTGCTTGCCTGGTGAATTTTAACACTATAATGCCTGAACAAGCATTTTGTTCAGTTACCACTTTCTCTCAGCTCATCTCCATCCAGTTCTGTTCCCCCTTTTTTTCTTCCTTCCTACTATAGCAATCTCCCTTTCTGCTCTTCCCTTTTTCTATTCCTGCTTGGAGGATGGATGGATGGAAATATGTGTGATCATAACTGTAGAGAGTTGTATGTATGAGAAAGTAGTTTGTGTGCATGTAAAAATGGTTTTTGTGGGCATATGTGGTTGCAGGATCAATTAATTTTATAAATAGGGTGGCTTCTTTTAAAAACAATGCTTTCCTCAAAAGAAAGAAGAGACAGAATAAAATATAAATGTAAAAAATATGGTGTAGTGTTAAGGTGTCAGACTGACCTGGGGAGACCCAGGTTCTCATGCATTCTCAGCTATGGAACTTGTGATGGAATGGAATTATGAAGGCCAAGCTCAGGGAGACAAAC